CATCTTAGCATTTCCCAGATATATCTGCTGCAACTTTAGCAAAAGAGAATTCAGGCAGGGGTGTGATCTTTTGAAAGCAGAAATTTATATAAGATCTTTACTCCACCTACATGATTTCTTTGTTCTTTGGAAGTCTTTGAGATGAGTCTTCCATTCCTACCCTTTAACTTAAGGAAGTCAGTGACTAGCTCTGAGGGGTTTCAAAGGACAGGGGTAGCAAGGATTCTCTTTCATTTTATTCCTTCATATTCTCTTTGTGACTATGACCTATAATGCATATTTTTCTTCTTCTTTCGTTCTTTTTTTTTTTTTGAAGCAGGGTTGAATAAGTAATCTGGGGGGGGGGTACTTTTACTTTCACAGAATTTACAACAGACTTAATTTCCACCTTTATAGATATCTTTGGTCAGTAGAACACATTGTAAACCACAGCTTCTTAAACTGTGGGAGTCCTGTAACTGAAGGGGGCACAAAAGCTTGGCAACAATAAAAGGTTTTTGGATGTTGTCTTAGGGTTTCCATTGCTGTGATTTTCGGTCGTAACACCATGACTGAAAGCAAATTGGGGAGGAAAGGGTTCATGAAGGAAACCAGGACAGAAACTCATACAGCACAGGAACCTGGAGGCAGGAACCGACGCAGAGGCCATGGAGGATGCTGCTTACTGCTTGCTCTCCCATAGCTTGCTAAGCCTGCTTTCTCATCAATCATCAATTAAGAAAATAGCCTACATTTTATACGGCAGGATTTTATAAAGGCACATTTTCTCTCTTCTCCCTCCTTCCCTCCCTCCCTCCCTCCCTCCCTCCCTCCCTCCCTCCCTCCCTCCCTCCCTCCCTCCCTCCTCCCCCTGCCAGGGTTTTTCTGTGTAGCCTTGGCTGTCCTGGAACTCATTCTGCCTGCCTCAGAGGTCTCCCTGGAGGAAGGTATTTTCTCAATTGAGGCTCCCTCTTCTCTGATGACACTAGCTTGTGCCAAGTTGCCATAAAGCTAGCCAGTTCAGATGAACAAAAACCAAAAATTAAGTACAAATGAAACATGTAAAGAATCCAGAATGTTTCTGGTAATGTTTGGTGGTGGCAGAGCTTGCTAATACTGCATTGTCTAACCACTTTGGTTAGACAGCTTTGGTTCTGAACACATGTCGTTTGCACACACTGCTGCCCTGTGTAGCACAGTGCCAGCTGACACTGCCTAACCCATCCCACCTCAGATTGGCACTTATTGTATGGTATGAATTGCAGTGGTTTTACTGTACATATGAAGTAATTTGCTTTTAGAGAAGCAGTGGTTTAATTATAGAAAACACTTTTTTTTTTTTTTTTTTTTTACTGCTATTCATTAGCTAAGTATGAAACTTATATGTATGTAACTTTGGGTTTTATTGAGTTACAATGTTTAACTTTAAAATTTGTTATTTGACAGGTTCCATGATTTAGTGGGTAATACCACTTGCTCAGAAACATGAGGATCTGAGTTTTGATTGTAGGTCCTATGTAAAAAGCTGGGCATGGCCACATGTGTATCTATAACATCATCATTGTGGGGACAGAGACAGGAGGATCTCTGGACCTTGCTGGGTACCAGGCTGTGTTCAGTGAGAGACCCTATTTCCAAAGATTAAAATAGAGTATTAGATGCCCAAAGTTTTTGTTGTTGTTGAAGGTTTGCTACCAAATAAATACACAGAAACTTATTCTTACTTTTGAATGCCTGATCTTAAGTTGGCTTGTTTCTAGTCAGCTTTTCTTAACTTAAACTGTCCCATCTACCCTCTGTCTGTGGGCTTTTATCTTTATTCTGTCTGTCTTTCACTCTTTCTTCATAGCTGGCTGTGTGACTGAGTGGCTAGGCCCTGGTGCCCTCCTCTCCTCCTCCTTTCCCTCCTCCCCTGTGCTCATTTTCTCCTGTTTATTCTCTGCCTGGCAGCCCTACCTATTTCTCTCTTCTGCCAAGCCATTGGCTGTTCAGATCTTTATTAGACCATTCAGTTGTTTTAGATAGGCAAAGAAAGTAACAGAGCTTGATAGAGTTAAACAAATGCAACAGAAAAGAAGGCAACACATCTTTGCATCTCTAAACAAATATCCCACAGCACAAACAAATGTAACACGTCTTCAGCTAATATTCCACAACACCCAAAGTCCTCCTGTGGTTCCCACGTCATTATACACAGGTGTGAGCAGCCACACACACCACACATACCCTCCCCAAACACAGAGTTTTGTTTTGCTTTTTTAAATTACTGTTTGAGTTGGTGACTTGGGTTTTACAAAGAAACCATTTTAATGATTTTGGCTGGGGATTAGGAGAGGTTTTCTGGTGTTTCTGAAATGACCGTAAACATATCTCATTCTGTACTCCATATTTACGTGAGGCAATGTCCTCAGCATTGGTAACTATAAAATCAGAGTATCAGTCAACTCTGAAAGATGTTGAAGATGTTCTGTGTCTTGCAGTTTCAAACACTGAGTCAGCGGTTGCTTTTTTATGTTAAGAATAATAGATTATCTCATTTGTATGAAGCTTTGCTTTTTATGTAAAATGGTAAATTATAAGTACATCAAAAACTGCTTTAAAATCTATTTTCTAACATTTTATTAGTAAATAATTACACTTAGTAAAGGCTTTTACACATGACATTTCCATACAAATACATAATGTAGTTCACCCATGTTCATGCTCTCTCTATTTCCTGACCTCTCTTACTGCTTCTTTGGTCCCTTTCTATTGTCTTGTGTTATTTTTAATTGCCTGGTGAGGATTTTGTGGCACTTACTAGTGGCTGTATTATGGAAGAAACTGTCTTGCTTACCTACCAGCTGTTAACTGTATAAACACGCAGGGCCCCTCCCTCCTACTGTGCAGCTCTTGGCTAGTTAGTTAGCAATCACAGCTCTTGTGAGTTCAGGAGTACAACAGATCTGGGGTACCTGGGAGTCAGCCTTCCACACCCCTCCTCTCCTCTCCCCACAGCTTTTGATTCCTCTCGGTGCTCTTCCCGAGGCTTGCTGTAAGTGTACTGTTTGTGGCTGAGTGTTCTGCAGTCCTGTCTCACTAGACTGGTTAATGAATCTCTGCAGTTCTGATCAGAGCTGATAACAGCTGAGTGTTGTTATTTAGAAGGCAGTTTGATGGCTACATCAGTCCTTACAATAAATTTGCTTTTGATTTCTTGTCACAAAGTGTTTGACTTGTGTACTTGTTTTATAGCCTTATATGTCCATGGTTTCCTAAAAAGTTCTCCAGTGACAATGAGCTGTGATCCTGTTGGAAATTAATGCTCTAAGCCCTTTGAAGGCCACTTATGGTTAGGATTGTTAAAGAGCTCAGAGTAGGGAGGCCCTGGATTCGACCTATCCCTGTGAGAAGCGTACAGATCTAACCTGACTAGTGAAGTATGTGAGACAGGTAGACCAGGAGAGCTGGGACAGCGTGGGCTACATAGAGAGACAGAGTCAGAAAAGACATTATGGAGACTAGCTGGACACTGGCAGAGAAGAGAAAATGAACAGAAATCAAGAGCTCTGTTTTTGGTCATTGTTTGGTATCTTTTTAAAGAACGGATTAGTAAATGGATATACAGGTCTGGAGCCTGGAAGAATCTAGTCTTGTAATATAAATTTGATGGTTGCCTGGCAGTGGTAGCACATGCTTTTAGCCCCAGCCCTCAGGACGTACATGCAGGCAGATCTCTGAGTTGGAGGCCAGCCTGGTCTACAGAGCGAGTTCCAGGACAGCCAAGGACAGCCAGAGCTACCCGAAGAGCTCTGTCTCCAAAAAGAAAGAAAAGAAAAAGGAAAAAACATTTATTATCTGTCTACTCTATAATTATCTCACAGGCTTACTAATATCTTTCTCTTTTATTTTCTGGAGAATATGGGTACCTTTTCTGATTTGCTCTGTCCAGGCACATTTTTGACTGGATATAGTTTTGTGATGTACCATTTTCAACAAAAAACAATGGAGCTGTTGTACCAATCTCTGCTACATTGTATGTTGGAGAAAATCATTTCTTATATGGAGCAGTACCTATCTTAGCATTTTTTCTCCTGAGACATGCAAAACTCGCAGTTCTGGATTCCATCTTACTGCATTTTGTTTAATTTATTAACATGTTAAAGTACTCAGGTATGGTGGTGGATGCCTCTAATCCCAGCATAGTGAGACTCTGTCTCAAACAACAAAAAAAGTTAAAGCTTTCGTTCATTTAAATGTGGGGTGAAGATTTCAAAAACAAGAATGTGATTTCTTCTTCCAATTTAAAACTATACCCTTCTAAAAATCTGGATTGTTCTTATGTGTTACTAATTGGTATTATGTCCTTGTCTTAAAATCCAGTTATACCCTATACTCTTTACGGCTTTTTTTTTTCATTCATAAGAGTAGATAGCAGCGATGTGCTGGTTAGTTCATTTGTGTGTGCGTGAGTGAGGGCGTGTGTGTGCGTGAGTGGGGGCGTGTGTGTATGTACGTTTGTGTGTGTGTTTGTGTTTTCTTCAACTTGACATAAGAAAAGGTCATTTGAGAAGAGGAAACTTCAGTAGAGGAAATACCTCCCTCAGATCGGCCTGTAAGCAAGTCTGTGAGTCATTTTCCTGACTGAGTGATGTGGGAGAGCCCAGCCCACTGTGGGTGGTGCCGACCCGGGAAAGTGATCTGGGATACTGTAAGAAAACACGCTGAGCAAGCTATAGAGAATGTGCCAGCACAGCATCCCCCATGAACTCTGCTTCAGTTCCTGCCTCTGGGTTCCTGCTTGAGTTCCTGCACTGACTTCCCTTGTTGGTGGGATAGTATTTCACACAGGCGTTGTGGTTATGGTGTTTATTACAGTCCCAAAATGCAAACTAAGACAAACAATTATAAGATGAAATCAAAGTATCTGCTTTTGTTAGCAGACAGCTTAGCTGTTTGGTAAAAGCCCTGCTTTAAAAATTAGCTGAAGTGAAGAGAGTACTAAGTCATTACATTAATTTTCTTTCTCCTCCATCCTTTAGCTTCACAATGAAGAAGATCATTCAGAATCATCTGCTGTAGAGCAGCCATCAACTTCTAACTCAGCAGCTCAGACTGCGGAAGCTGCTGCTTCAGCATCTGCACTGGAAGCTGACCCTTCTCCTCCCCCCTACAGTAGCATTACTGTGGAAATACCTACAACTTCAGGTGGGATGCGCCAGTCACAAAGCCCTGTGCCCTTTTCCTCCTGACAGTTTGTTGTTGCTGTGGGATTAACAAGTCTCTTAATGGCGTGGTTGTTTGTTTTGTTTTGCTTTATAACCCATGCTAGTCTGGAGCTTACTGTGTAGCCCAGGCTGTTCTAGAACTCATAATTTTTCTGCTTCAGCCTCCCAAGAAATGCATGCTTGGAGTATAAGCATGTGTCATTGCACCTAGCTTGAAAGAAATACACACACACATATCTAACCACACTTGTATATACTCACACATGTCTGTATACATACGTGTGTGTGTGTGTATACATACATCTGTATACACACACACATAATATGTTTATACTTCTATATTCTTAAGGTTGTAATGGAAAGCTAATAATGATGAGAGTAAGAATGTGGTATATGTGAGCAGCCACGAACAGTGTGCAAGTGTTGTGCCATACACATGGTAAGAATGCCTGCAGGCAAGTCCGACATTCCTACTTGCTGCTCTTTGTCCTCTGTGCCAGGCCGTCCTACTCTGTGTATCTTCTCAGCAGTGTTCAGTTGCTCGTATAATTATTTGCTTACTTCCATGTTGTATGATTCCGTTTGCTACTATAATATTTCTGAGCAGTATAGTAATTTCTAAAAGTGTCTATAAGTTCTCTGTTTAACATTCTTTATGAAGTAATTGTTTTTTTTTTTAAATTACTAAAAAACATTGCAACAAATAACCCTGTGTAAGTTGGGGCTGGAGTTTCTTGGCAGAGTGCTTGCTTGCATGTAGTATGCATGAGACCCTTGGATTGATCACTACCACCACAAAAGCAAGCAAAGCCTTCTTTACGTTTGCATCCTTATTTCTTTGTATAGTGAAGGTTGACTTCATGTAGGAAGCTCATACCAGCTTTGTCTACATGAATGAACGACATGAAGTTCATTTCCTTTTCAAGGCAGTTTTCACAAGTAATCTCCTGTGGTCCTTTCGAATAAAGTTAGTGTGTGCTGATTCTGTTTGTTACAATGCTTACTTTGTTAGTGTGCTTGTTCGGTCTTGATAAGAACTTCCAAACTCTGCTGGCAGCACCCTTGCTCTGCCCCTTTCTGCAACCTTTGCCATGTCAGTAAAAGGCTCTAATTGCCCAGAAACGCTATAAAGCAGTGGTTCTCAACTTATGGGCTGTGACCCCAAGACACTATTGGAAAACACAGGTATTTACATTCTGATTTGTAACGGTAGCAAAATTACACATGTGAACTAACTACATAAATAATTTTTGTTTTTCAAAAGTTGATCCATCTTTAACTTTTGGACTGAACCATCATGCCATGGCTTCAATATCTTCCGAATTGAGATATGTGAACCCTTTAGCAGTGCTTGTATAGCTTAATAGGATCTTAAGTTTCATATGCTGTCTTGGTAGTGTGACCATTCAGCAATGTAAAACAAACCTAGAAGCTTCTGGCCTCTGTTATAATGTAAATAATGTGTAGATAATGTAGCATAGACTTCTTAAAGTTTAGGCAAATTTCAGCTGTAAGCGCAGCAGAATCTGGTAGTTGAGTGTTCTTTATTCTCACACTAACCTGTAGAGATGAGTCTGCATTGTCTACAGCTCTGCCTAACAGGATGCTTAAGACTAATTAACCATGAGAGTGAGTAATTCCAGATTTGGAGTCTCTTCAGTGAAAAATCATTGATATATCATTGCTAGTATTTTCTTTTGTTTCTTAGTTATATGTTAAATAGGATCTTTTCTTAGTTTTCTATGATACTATATTTTTCATTAGCTCATTTTGTGACTTTTTTTTCTAAATCTGAGTAGCATCAGTAATCTGTATATTTTATGACACATTCTCTTGGATGCTACTTCCCTCTAATACCATGTGTGCCTTAGTCAGTGATTTGACTGAGGGTACAGTCCTTGGGACGCTGGATGACAGAGCTTACAGACTTTAATCTTGTTGAGAAGCCTTATGTACAGAGCTCACGATGTCTCAGCTTATGTTAACGACTTGACTCTTTTCTATGATGAATATTAAAGATTTTCAAGATTTTTCATTCTGTTCCTATAGATTATATCTCCATGGATGATGTGTGCTATTTTAATTTATAAATTCAATGTTATTTTCTTAGATTAATAAGATTGTTTTCATTTAGATTTTGCTTCTCAATTGTACTGTTACTACTGTTTCTGTAGTAGATTAGAAATAACCTAACCAGATTCTTAGCCTATATTGATAACTTATTTTTTTCTTAAAGCCTCTATAGCTGAAAATATAATACTAAAATAAAAAAATTTCATATTGGAGATGCAAGAAGTTCTGTTAAAGAAAAAGGTATAAACTACTGTAGAAAATATCAAAATATTATAGTTAGAGAAAATTCTGTGTTCCTTAGTGTTTGACATACTTTTAGAATCTACGTTTTACACTGTCATTGGTCTACTATAAACATTATCAGTTCATGCTGAACTTAATTTATACTAATAGGAATATATTCTGTAGTTTTATTTTATAAAATGAGCAGTCTATACTATTTTACTATAATTTTGGGGAGCTATTTTTCAAAAATGCTTTAAAAATCAGACAGAAATTGTTAGTAAAAATGGAGGGAGCTGTGTGGCTCTTTGGAAAACTGAAGGAAAAGGGATAATGAGAAACAATAGGAGCCCATGGGTCTTTACGCGAACAGAACAGAGTTTTCTTAAGTTAGGGAGCTGCTGAAACCGGTGTGGAAAAATTACCCTGTAGTTCGTGAGAGCAGAGGACCTGGGGCCTCGAGGATGCTAGCATTAGTGTCCAGAAAAGACAGCATGCCGGCACCACATCGATGCTGTGGTGACTAGTTAGTTCTTCAAGGCCTTCACTGTGATTGGCGTGGCTGTGAAATGGCGAGCGAGTGGGCGAGTGTGTGTCAGTGAGTGAGTGAGCGAGTGAGCAAGTGAATGAGTGAATGAGTGAGCGAGCGAGCGAGTGAGCGAGCAAGTGAGTGAGCGAGCGAGTGAGCGAGTGAATAAGTGAGCCAGCCAGTGAGTGAGCCAGTGAGTGAATGAGTTAGTGAGCCAGTGAGTGAGCGAGCGAGTGTGTGAGTGAGCGAGTGAACAAGTGAGCGAGTGTGTGAGTGAGTGAGCAAGTGAATGAGTGAGCCAGTGACTGAGTGAGCGAGCGAGTGAGTGTGTGAGTGAGCGAGTGTGTGAGTGAATGAGCAAGTGAGTGAGTGAGCCAGTGAGTGAGTGAGTGAGCGAATGAGCAAGTGAGCGAGTGAGCGAATGAATGTGTAGCTAGCGAGTGAGTGAGCCAGTGAGTGAGCGAGCGAGTGAATGAGTGAGCGAGTGAATGAGTGAGTGAGTGAATGAGTGAGTGAGCCAGTGAGTGAGTGAGCGAGCGAGTGTGTGAGTGAGCGAGTGAACAAGCGAGCGAGTGTGTGAGTGAGCAAGTGAATGAGTGAGCCAGTGAGTGAGTGAGCGAGTGAATGAGTGAATGAGCGAGCCAGTGAGCGAGCCAGCTTACAATACAGACCTGCAATAGCAATAGTAATCTTTGTTGTGTTACTGTAAGTTTTTAAAGTATGATCATGACTATGAAATCGTATTAAATTTTAATGATTATCCTTTATAAATCTTGTGTTTCTTCAGATACTGACATTTACAGTGAGTTTTACCCGGTGCCACCTCCATACAGTGTTGCTACCTCTCTTCCGACATACGATGAAGCTGAAAAGGCTAAAGCTGCTGTCCTGGCAGCCGCAGCGGCGGAAACACCTCAGAGAGTAAAACGTCACTTAACGATACTTTTGTGGCTTTCTGTAGATTTAATATAAAGGTCGTTCTCTGTGTGTGGCAGTGTGTGTGTGGTCTTCCTGTTACTGTCTGTGTGTGCCAGTGTGGCCACGTTACACTCTGCAGATGAATTCACCTGCTCTTGCCCTTGGCTTCCTCAGTTTCTGTTGACCTTTGCAGTACATGGGCCACTTCCCAGCTTTTGATGTCAGGCAGATCGGACACTGACTCTTCCATCCAGGTCGGCCCACTGCTCAGCGCCACCCTCACACTGCCTCTGCTTCCTGTGGACCGCGTTTCCACTCATCTCTCTATGGCCCGCGGACTTTGTCTCCTGACACAGTTCAGACTCCACTTTCTTCTCATCCAAGCTGTGTTGTCTTATTTCCTGTTCCTGTTTGCTTTTCCCTTTTCTCTTTCTCCACCGCATTGTACCGTTTACTCCTTCTTCTCTTTCATATATACGTTTGCACCTTTTAATAGTTGCATAAATAGCTTGGTGTGTCTTTATTATGTCATTCCATCTATCTGCCATGTGGGCTCTAGAAGAGCATGCGGGTTTGTTTTGTGTGAACTGATGGGGCTCAAGGCTTAACTCTTAGATGCAATCAGTGATAACAGACTTTGCAAGTAATTTCAGAGCTTCGTTCTTTATATTTGTAAGCAAAGACATTTATGTTAGGGTATTATTTTGCAAGCAAAAGGTGTATCATACGAACAGTATTTTATGTAATATCTTTTAGAGATTATTAGAATAATAAAAACACCAAGATATTAAAACCCTTTTAAAATTTGCTTTAAAATTTTAATGCTGAATTGTTTTAGTTTCATAAGATGTGTGTCCTGTAATTTATCAGTCTACCAAGAACCGACTTGCATTTTCCCCAGCTTGTTTTCAGTCCGTCAGTTTGCTGTATTTTGGAAAGGACAGGCATTGCTGAGGTCTGCAGGGAAGACTGAATTACCCAGAGCAGTAGCACTTGTCTTTGCCTGCTGTCCATCAGGCCCCAGTTCCCACAGGGCATCAGGGGGTTAGCTGGTAGTCCCACATGCCGAGGGTTATGTTACTAGGGAGTCCAAGTCCCCCACCTGCCGTAGAGAATGCCTACATCTGCCAGGCAGTGATGCATAGCTTTTAATCCCAGCTGTCGGGAGGCAGAGGCAGACAGATCTCTCTTGAGTTGGAGGCCAGAGTGGTCTACAGAGAGCTTCCAAGACAGCCAGGGCTACACAGTGAAACCCCCTGTCCCCAAAAGAAAGCCCACACCTTTGCTCTGCTGGGAGATTCCACTCTTCCAAAGCTATCCACTGTGTAAGAGTCCAGGAGAAACCATTGTTTCTGTATGGAAGACATGCAGAAACAGAAACGCCTGTAGAGTTATCTCCCAACTCAGCCCACGATTAATGTATCATTTTCATAATTGTTGCTATATATATGTGCACAATATATTTCAAGAATTAAAGTTGATGGATGAGAGGGCATACAGAGTTTTATTTTTGGTAATTATTGTCTACTTCCTAAAAGAGGTTGCACAGGTTTCCATTGTGTCACTGATTGTGAGAGCTCTGTTTCCCACTTGATATTCTGCCATGGCATCACATCTGTAGTCTTTGTGTCTTTGTGTCACTTCCCTGAATCTGATGTCACACGCCCACCCCGTGTGTGTGGCGTGGCGTGTGTAGGCTTGAGTTAAGCGTTGGGATATTGTTGGGGTGCCCTTCTTTTGTCCCTGTCCACCTTTCTTTTAGATAGGCTCTTAATGATAACCCAAAATTTATCTGTTTAGCCGGATTGGCTGGCCACTGAGCTTTAGGGACCTGTGTGTCTCTGTCCCACCAGCCCTGGGGCTGCAGGCACACACATGCTTCAGCGCCAGGCTTTTCACATGGGTTTTGAGGATCCCCGCTCAGGTCTTTGTGCTTGTACTGACTGAGCCGTGTCCCCAGCCCTCAAGTTACCTTTTTTTGTGTTTGCCTTTAAAGATACCCTTCTCAACAGCATCTGTGATAAAGTAACACTTGCTAATTCTTATCTGTATGGCCACTGAGAATGTTAGGTGTTACTGATGTTCTTACTCTTAAATTGAAGGTAATAAAATTGTAATTATTTCAGTGAAATGTTTTGGTATGCATTTTACAGAACCAGGAGGAAGAGTGTACACCAAGAGATGACTTCAGCGATGTAGACCAGCTTAGAGTGGGCAATGATGGCATTTTCATGCTGGCGTTCTTCAGTAAGTGACCTTTCCATTCTGCTTTTAAGAAATACTGGTGTGTGTGTGTGTGTGTGTGTGTGTGTGTGTGTGTGTGTATTTAAAATAACAGTGAAGAAAATGCTGTAGCATGGGCCTCCTTCACTCAAAGAGTGAATTGCTCGAGACATTGCACGTAATAAATCCTCAAACCTATTAAGCGTTTGTAGGTAATGCTGATTGCGCCTTTATGGTTGATAATGACCAGAAGTAGATGCATATTTAAACTGAATGAGATTTCACAGAGGAAAAAGCAGAATTAAGAGAAATACTGTGTCCTTTAAGGCTGTAGTACATTTCTGCTTTGAGGTCAGAAAATTTCCCTTTGAATGGCCTTAAGCCATCAGGGTTGGAGAAGGGAAAATTCTAGAAATCTAGGAGTGCCACAAAGGTATGGATATATAAGTCTTATTCAGGGAACAGTTAGGTTAAATGCTAATTATTTGACTTACACAGTAAATTTAAACTGAGGGAATACTGTCACGGTGTTTGTTATTTCTAATAAGAATGGCTAAAACTAATAGACACCTAATGTTCAGCAAAGTTGATTAGGTTATGTATTGTTTATTCTAGACTACAAATGAGGAATGGTTTACTTAATGTAAAATGACACACTCAGCTTCAGAAATCATCTGTCATGTGTTGAACCCTTCTCCGAGTTTGAGAATGTTTCACACTTCTCTTTATTTCATCTATCAGACAAAAGAAGTGTTTAAAGAGAGGGACAGACCTACTTCATGATATTTACATCACTGTCCAGTATGTGCAGGGTTTAAATCCTAAGTAGTTTTGCTGTGATTTTTCAGTTGGGTATGATGGATACAATGAAAGACAGTGGATTCATTGGTTACACATAGATGCTCACTGCCTTTTTGTACTGCTAGTCTAATGAACCTTAGGTTTTAATCTTTGATTTTTATTCAACTAGTAAGCTTTTATAGTAATATCAAATTCACGCATGTGTTTACATAAAGAATGTCTTCAACGTTAATTCCTTTCATTATTAGGTCTCTTAAGAAATCTTGGGGCAATGAGGGAAATGGGAAAACCCCTGCCAGGCACACATGAAGACCAGAATTTAATTCCTTAAGCCCAGGCTGAACAGGTGTGGCACCTGCCTGTAATCCCAGCACTTAGGAGAAGAAACAGTGGTCCTTGGAGCAAGCTGGGTTCAAATGAGAGATCCTGCCTCCGTAAATAAAGTGGAGAGAAACTGAGGAAGACACCCATTGATCTCCACACACATGTTCACATATGTGCATCCCACACACATGTGCCCATAAACATGCAAATTTATATGTGCAGGCATCTACATTACACACATACCCATGGCCCAACAGGGAGAATATCAATGAGAAAAGATTATGAATGTACTGTTGACAGTGTAAGTAGTAGCCTCCTTAGAAATGCAAGTGTGCCATTTATATCATCTAAGCTTTTCACTCTGAACTTACATATTTCCTTTAACCCCAATACCTTTTATTTAATATTCATGTGTTAGATTTTAATATTTATAAATGATGTAAATGCATGCAACTTAGATTATTTTTGGTTAGTGACAATATATTGATTTATATAAATATAGTCCCAGATTTCATATGAAATTTTCAAATTTTAATAAAGTTCTGTGAAATTGTACTTCTACACATTGCTTTTATGCTCTCTGTTTCTACAAACGTTTTATATAAGATTAAAAAGTTGGTATGCCCAACTTTAATAAGCATTCATTTATTTGTAATTATTACCATCTAGTGGCTATTCTTGAAATTGCAACTTGCTTTCTATTCTTCCTTAAACTGGTAGTCCGGAAATATATTCTTTAATCTAGCTTACATCTTAAGCATTTCAGGTTATATTTTTACAAATAAAATTACAGCAAATATGAGTTCTATTAAAAAAACCTTTCATAGGTTTAATTTTTGATTTCTCTTACAGCATTAATATTTTTGCTTCTTATCTCACGTAATCTGAGAGAAGATTTATAGTTAAATTTAGTGAATTAATTATGTTTTCGTGTGCAGAAAATAAAAGGGAAGAAATGAGTATATTTCTGGGTAATGTGTAGTACGAATGTGAGAAGTCATCTCATATTCAGTTAGCTGTTATCTTAAAGCACCTCTTAAATTTTTAAGAGGATACAGTAGAATAGAGTTGCTTGTCAGTTAATTCCACTCTAGAAGTTATATTTGATCCAATAGATAATTGATCATATTGGAAATGACTGAGTGCTAGTGTTTTAAAAATGTGTGGACCATTTTGGGAAAACTATTCCTTCAAGGTGTAGCCGATTGTATCACATGTGTCAGAAACTTCATATCAGAAAGAGAAAGACATTATAGTTAATTACCCAGCTCTCTTATTTTAGACTTAAGAAAGCTGAAAGAAAAGTTAGTGTTCTCATAACCTAACACTTACAAAGAAAACAGAACTGTTTTGAAATGTAAATATGACTTGTAGGGCTTGCTGGATAGTTGTATGCCAGCTTGACACTAGCTGAAGTCATCTGAGAGACAGGAAGTGCAATTAAGAAAATGCCTCCATAAATGAGCCTGTAAGGCATTTCTTAATCATTGATTGATGGAGCAGGACCCAGCCTGGGGTGGATGGTGCTACCCTGGGCTGGTGGTCCTGGATTCTATAAGAAAGCAGGCTGAACAAGCCACAAAGAGCAAGCCAATAAGCAGCACCCCTCCATGGCTTCTGCCTCCAGGTTCCGGCCCTGTTTGAATTCCTGTCCTGACTTCCTTTGGTGATGAACAGTGATGTTTGGAAGTGTAAGCCAAATAGACCCTTTCCTCCCCAGGTTCCTTTGGTCATGCCTGGTGTTTTATCACAGCATAGTGCCTTACTGACAGGGAAATACCAGTCACTTCCAAATGATTACTGTGTCTTTCTCTTTCAGTCCTGTCAGTGGTAGATGAGTGTAGCCTGAAAATAAAACCCAGGGACAGATATTGGGATTCAAGCTTCAAGCTGAAGATCAGAGAAGCAAAGCAGCCAAAGTAGTAGATCTTACTTCTACCAAGCTGAAATGGCAGTCCTGTCTCCATGAGTCCTCGGAGGCAAAAGCTCTCGGTTCCTGCCTTCTCCTCTTTGTATTCCTTTCTCCACCCACCCAGCCATATCCTCCTGTTTCCACCTCCCTAGTGCTGGGATTAAAGGTGTGTGAGCCCAAGTGGTAGGATCAAAGGCGTGAGCTGTTACTCTTCACTCTTGTGTAGGTAAGAGTGGCCTTGAACTCAGAGAGATCCATCTGCCTCTGTCCTGGAATTAAAGGTGTGTGCCACCAACACGTAGCTTCTACAGTTAGCTAGTGTGGCTGCCTTTGCTTTCTGATTCTTCAGGCAGTCTTTATTAAATCATAACTAATATATCACCAGACATGAGGGCCCTTATTTTATCATCATCAGAAACTGCTGTTGATGACATTTCTATTTTAGACTTTTCTTAAAAGCATGTAGTGTGTTCTAATTATGTCTTTAATGTGCATTTCTCAAATAATTATAACACTGAGCATCTTCATTCTGTAAATTCTTTTATGATTCTATCATATAAAAGTCAAAAGGTCCATTTTTTTAAGTGGTGGTATAGATGCTAATGTATTGAAAACAATTACATGTTCTGTCCATGTAAGTTGTCTAAAATGGCTTTTAGATGACATTAATATTGGTATTAAATCCAGATAAAGAATATGCCAGAATTATAACTGTTATTTATGACATACTATATTTGGTTATTTTGGTTTTACCTTTACAAAAACTCCAGTTTTGTCTGATCCCTTGAAGATCAGACTCCACAGGAACAATATTGTGATCTCGTGATTTGCTGATTTACAAACGAAGTTTTAAGTGAGAATATGGAAAGGAAATAAGAAAGCAAGTGTCTGCTTTCTCACATCCAGAAACTATGCTTAAATCACATGTTTAAATAAATCTACACATATTATATATACACATACATATGAGAGACATGAAAGTAGGGTATTTAAGGAGGGGGTGACCAGTAGGAGGGAGGACAGGAGTTCAAGGAGGGTAAAAGGGGCAAATATGAGCAAATACAGCGAAATGCATGTATGGTAAATCAAAGTGATTATTTTGTATGCTTGCTAAAGAAAAGTAATGAAAACCGAACTTCATCAATAATAACATAGTTTTACATGCTAGTAATAGCCTTAAAGAACTGGAAAGGAAACTGTTGACCAGACTGGCAGAACCCAACTTTACCAGTCTATTTGCTTATTGTAATGGATAGATGTGCAAGCAGCAAGCCAAGGCAGTCTCTAAGGACAGCTCAGTGGCTGGAGTGCAAAGAGGCTGCTGTTTCACTTAAGCAATGAGGGATAGCTAGATAGCTATTCTTATGTTTCTGTTAATTTGTATAGAAATTAAGACCTTGAAAAGTATGTTTCTGTTATCTTTAGTGGCATTTATTTTCAACTGGCTTGGATTCTGCTTATCGTTCTGTATCACCAATACCATAGCTGGAAGGTATGGTGCTATCTGCGGATTTGGCCTTTCTCTGATCAAATGGATCCTTATTGTCAGGGTAAGCAACTCATAGTTCCTATCTGAAATGTGTGGTTCGTTGTAGTGTTTGCTTCATGCACACGCATTCTCCCCGATACAGACTTCACCTCTTCCTTCCTTCGACTGTGTGTAACCACGAAGACTCGGTGTAACTGTATGTGCCATAACTGTGTGTGAGACTGTTAGTTTGTATGTGCCACAGCTGTGTGGGAGAGACTGTTGCCCTGAAATAAGATGCTCCCAGCTTTGCTACCTGTGTTCTCATGTTAAGTCATTTAAATGTTCTCAACTTTACTTGGTTTCCTCATAATAAGTTGATAAAAACTGCCTCACGGGATTATTTCTGAAGATGGGAAGCAAAGTACCTTACCCAGTTACCTATAGTATGCAGAATGAACATGTAGTAAAACACATATATACATGTGTGTGTGTATACATATAGCATACAGAAATATAGTATATGTGTTTTGAACAAATCATATTTCCTGCTCATGTGATGTAGTTCAAGTGTGTCTTAAATCAAAAACCCAAAGTTTCTGCTTAGTAAGTTATTATGAATTTAAATGTCTCCTAAGGTGGTTTTTTACTATGTCCTTTTGTTCTTAGTTAAGATTGGTCAAAGAGATAGCAAGGTCACGAAGAATAATATATAGGTTGCCAAGGACTTTTAAAGTATATTCAGATTGGACCGAGAATTCTGACATTTAAAAATACAACAGGAAGAGATGAATATTGGAAAATCCTGTTTCAAATAATTACTAAATACTTCCTCTCTCAAAGCTCTGAGAGCTCAAAAGTAAAGGCTGAGAACTTGCTCCTGCTGAGTGTGAGGTGACACCCGCAGCCTACACTCGCTGAGGAAGGCCGACTCTGAGGCTACATTGTAATGCCGTATTTCAAAATTTAAAAAAAAAAGAGAGAGGAGGAGAGAGCTCACCGAAAGCCCTCATCCCTTGCTCCTTGTGTTCTTTGAAAGCCTTTCTAATTTCCTCTTCCCTGAAACGACTTTCAAGGGCCATTAGGGGACAACAGTGTCTCTTGTCATGAGAGTTTTCTGTACAGGTTGTGTAGGCTTGCTTGCTGTCAGGCACGGTCAGTTTGTTTCTGTCTTTGCCTCCTGAAGGTTTCCTGTGAGCATCTTTGCTTCCTGGCTTTGATAGCTTTTATTTATTTGGGGTGGGGTGTGCATGCGTGCGTGCGTGAGTGCGTGCATGCGTACGTGTGTGGTGTGTGTGTGTGTGTGTGCGTGCGTGAGTGCGTGCATGCGTACGTGTGTGGTGTGTGTGTGTGTGTGCGTGCGTGAGTGCGTGCATGCGTACGTGTGTGGTGTGTGTGTGTGTGGTGTGTGTGCGCGTGTGTGTGGTGTGTGTGCGCGCGTGTGTGGTGTGTGTGCGCGTGTGTGTGGTGTGTGCGCGTGTGTGTGGTGTGTGCGCGCGTGTGTGTGGTGTGTGTGCGCGTGTGTGTGGTGTGTGTGCGCGTGTGTGTGGTGTGTGTGCGCGTGTGTGTGGTGTGTGTGCGCGCGTGTGTGGTGTGTGTGCGCGTGTGTGTGGTGTGTGCGCGTGTGTGTGGTGTGTGCGCGCGTGTGTGTGGTGTGTGTGCGCGTGTGTGTGGTGTGTGTGCGCGTGTGTGTGGTGTGTGTGCGCGTGTGTGTGGTGTGTGTGCGTGTGTGTGTGTGTGCGTGTGTGTGGTGTGCGTGCGTGGTATGCGTGTGTGTGTGCGTGTGTGCGTGCGTGGGTGGTGGTGGTGTGTGTGGTGTGTGTGTGTGTGCATGTGTGTGGTGTGCGTGTGTGTGTGTGTGTGTGTGTGTGTGTGTGTGTGTGTGTGTGTGTAAAGCATCTGTGAGAGTCTGCTCTGTCTGTCCACCATCTGGGTTTTAGTGTCCAAACTGGAACTTGGTGAGGTGTCTTTACCGAGTGAGCTGTTTGTAGTCTGTCTGTGGGTTTTAAAGGGTGGTCATGGGTAACTCCTTTCATTGTTGTGTTAAGTTTGCTGAGGCGCTGTCTACTGGGGGGGAACGGAGCCTAAAATGAGGCGGATTTAAGTCTCATTCGACTCCCAGCCTCAGACCCTGGGGCCACAGGCCACAGACCACAGATGCACATCCCAGGAACAATTCTGTGTCCAGTTTGAAGAAACCGAGGTCATTAGACTGCTGTTTTCTCACAAGCATTCAGAATTCCCCTCGCTTGACTCCATTCTTGGACTGTGCTGTGACTGCTGTCCACAGAGTTTTAAATGATGTCAGCCAGCTTCTAAATTATACAAATAGTATTTACTTAAACATTGCTTTCTGATTGAAAGTGCTAAATCTTCCTAAAGTTTTCAGTAGAATCACAAGTCTGAAATACTTCTTTAAATGTTCCAGATGTTTGGGTAATGCATCTGTTTTATTATAATCTATTAAAAGTAGCCATTGTACAAATATTAATCCTCTGAATGATATTATTTTTTTAATTTGTTTTATAGCTTCCCAGGGTTTTGGTTCTTTTAACAGATCCCATACTGGTACATATCATAGGTTTTGAATGTTAATCTATGGATTCTTGGTTTGGATCTATATTATAAGATGATTAAAGCTTAAGCCATTGTGAGAACCGGTCCTCTGGTAGGTTTTGTTTTGTTTTTTTGTTTTTTTTTTGAGTTTCCACCAGGAGCTTAAACCTACTATATGTTGTGAAACATACAAACCTGCAACCCTGGCCTTGCAGAGTTTCTTGGTGGAGAAAATGAACAGAGTTGGAACTGTGTATATCCAGATTTACCTGTATTGCCAGCGAAACTGTTATACAAATAAGATTTCTCATTTAAATTATAGAACACAGAAAACTATTCAAAAACTAATTTTCAATTGCTAGGGTCATTCTTTTTTTAATGTCATTTGACATGAAATTGAGTTACAGTTTACAAATCAATTTTGCAAGGTTTATTATTGCATCGAAGGTCAGTGCCTATTTACTCATTTTTCAACAGTTACTTCACACCCCGCCCTCTAAAGAATATCCAGTAGCTCTCTTAAATTAACTGTCACACAGGCATTTACTTTGCTCCTGTAGTTTAGTCACATCCAAGGTAGTACAGATGGTCTTTTCCACACCACTAGGTTAGTACGACCATGTTGTGTTTCATTGTAGGTCATTCTTGATATACAAGAGGTAGTTAGCCCATTGAGCATAGCCGATACCTTGAGGGTATCTGGATCCTGTTTATTGGGTATTATATATGGAGAGTTGAAAATGTAGTTTTGGTTCTTTACCTTCTTATTTCTTACAGCTGCTAAAACCCTTATGAAACTTTTTTCTTGATTACACAGTAATTTTTCAGTTGTCAGTTCTTTTCTCAGTGTAAGTGTGGGGGTGTGGCCCTTGAACCCTTGAAGTGTGAGTGTGTCCCAAAGGACTGGAACATTTTAAATCTTTGCAATTTCTAAAACTCTGAGCCTGGGATTTAGATAATTAGGTATTTATTAGTTTAAAATTATTCCAAAGGAAGCGCTTCAGAAGTTTAAAAAAACACCATTTGATAATCTCCATTTATATACTTCCCAAGTTGTGACACCATGTGAAATTTGTATTTTTATTATTAACAAAGCTGTAGATTTTTAAGCTTTTATAGAAATTATCAACAGTCAGGAATACTTTTAATTTCAGATACAAGCATCAGTCTGCATTTAACAAAATTATTTTTAAGAAAGTAAGTTTCAATCTGGAGACCAGTAAAAAGAAATGAAATTAGAACAAATTTTCTTTTAAACATTTAGAGTAGGTTATGTGATATACTTAAAAAGATAATTATTTGAGGTGATTTAAGATACATAATATACATAATTTAAGATAGGGAAGAATCACCCATAGTAGTTTAAGAACCCTGTGTTATAAACTTTTTAAATTCCGTGAAGTGCGGGTCTGTTCGAGAGAAGGTCCTGGTGTCCTGCTCTGTGAGAGCCTCCTGGCAGCTTGCTACTCCCTTCCTCACAAGGGAAGGAAGGCCGGCTAACATGCCAGTAGCAGCCACTGTAGAAATGGCACTGTTGAGAGCCAAGTGCCAGGCATCTAGTTTGAAAATGAAAACTCTCTAAGGAGTTGGGGGTCTTTATGTGCCTAGTATTTTGGCAGTGACTAACAGTAGGGGGTTACAGAAGGTCAAAGCCTTTCTCTCTAGAGGTCAGCACAACATCCTGTCCCATAAGATTAAACTAATGTGGCTTTTGTGCTAATCTCCAAAGCAGCAGGTTGCTGTGGTGTGTGTGGGATGGTAATTGTATCTTTGAGACTATAAGAAACTGATGTGAACTTTTCGATGAAAAAAAAAATGTTTAGCTCCAGTGTATAACATTTAGACATTTATTTTCTTGCAAGCAGTTTGGAGTTTTTTGTTTATGAAGTATTTTATATAAGTGTGCAATTGCATAAGAGTTTTCCCCAAATATATATGTATATCATTAAGTATTATCCCTGTGCTTTTCTTTCATGCTATTTTTAATATGCTGTTTTTTAAGCATTAAAGATTATTTGAGATAAATTATTCTGATGCCTAGAGTAATCTGAGTGTTCACATTTAATAATACCTACATGGTTAACATATTTATGTTCACTCCATAGTTTTCTGACTATTTTACTGGCTATTTCAATGGACAATATTGGCTTTGGTGGATATTTCTTGTACTTGGTAAGTTTATTTTTAATTTAGTTCTGTTTAAATAACCTTAGTTTATTACTCAATTAACCGGTAACTCTGAAGTCATGAAGTGCAGATACGCTGTGTTCCTAGTAGAGCAAAAGTAAGATCTCTGGTGTAAATCCGTGCACTGGCTATTCTCAGTTCTCTGGTGCCACATGTCCCCTGCATGGAAAAAGCAGAGACTGTCAGCACAGAGAACCCGTGGCTGAATGACAAACAAGTCCTACAGAGTTTGAGAATTTCAGCCTAATGTAAATATTGTCATCTTTACTAATTATCCACAGGAAACACACGTGCATAATTTTAATGCTGTCATGCGAGTAGGAGGGTTTGAGCAGTCAGTGCCTTCTCGTATTTTTGAATTAGGGAAGCATTCTTTGTGCTTTAGGAATGTGCGCTTTATCCGTCGTTAATGTGGTGCTGCAGGAGAGGCTCCCTGCGCTGCCCACAGCACTTCCCTTTAGTTGTCCTTTTGTAAGGCAGGCTTCTACTACATGCTGACATTTATGAGTTTTCAATAGTCCATGCTAATTAAGTTAACTGTAACGTCATGTTATACTTTTGACCCGTGTTTTAAATGTCTTCACTGACAATTTGTATTTTAATTCTTTTAGATTACAGTAGGTGGCAGTCTTTTCTTTAGGTTTTTAGTCATACTATTGGACCTTTAGGATTTTTTTGAAAACAAATTGTTGGTGGCCAATTAAGATCGCTAAATTCTTTCTGTAATGTTATGGTGAAATTATTTTAATGTTGTAACTATGTTGGAGATCATAAATATATACTGGTTAAGGTGGGTTTATGTATTGTTTATTGTATCCTAGATTTCTGAATTCTTTGCTCTTTGAGTCTTTTACCTAAAAGTGTGTGTGTGTGTGGGGGGGGAGCTATCCATTCTATTCACTCTTATTAGTGAGTGTGCTTGCTTCAGTGTCCATGGTTAAGAGGTGAGTGAAGTCAGAGAGAGATACTATGGGCAGAATTGAGACCACAGTCCCAGTTCCACATCAGAGCCAGGGTCTCAGATTCCGTTACAGGAGGATGCAGATTGCATCAGCACTAACTACAGGAACGATGCTGAGACTAGTGTGGGAATGAATGGCTTCTTTTAGAAAATGCCTGTAAGAGCACACTGTGTCTAAGAACTAGCAGCTTCACAGACAAAAGAGGGGATCTCACAAATAAATTTTGTCTGTTTTAAATAGTACTTTTTGTATTGGGAAAAGAAAAAGCGTCTTTGTTTATGACCCGCATCTGGAAGGGAATGAGGGTAGAATCCAGAGAAAGGGTCACAAAGGGAAAGAGTTGGGTGTGAAAGCAAATGGGTCTTAATTTAACTGAAACGTCACACCTTCATTTCCTCATCAAGTATATGTTCTTCTCTCCAGTCTGCTACAGACCGCCTCTCTCTGCAGCACTCTGAAAACTGTCGAGTGTGGGGTAAAATGTGTTTTGGGCGTTAGATTTCAAGTCCGGCAGGGTTTTTCTTCCTGGTGAAGGAGGTCATGCATCCTTCTATTTTGTTTTCTCCCCACTCTATCTGGTTATGAGTTTGCTGGAGTTGAGTGCTTTCCAGAAAACTGTGTAAAGATTTCAGAGGCATGTACTAGTAACACTGCTCTGGCTTCTACACTCATGTAGTGGTCTTTATCTGAAACTCTGACCATTTCACAGGCGTTGCTTATGTGAAATAGTATTCCTCTTAGAGAGCCATCTCGGCTGTCTATCACAACGAAACCACTAGAGGGGCCTGTCTCGGTTTTTATTACTAGTATTGCATTAGTTCAAAACAAAAACTTAAACTCGTACCCATCTTTGAGTGCAGATTTAACAAATGGCAGGCCCTTTATATTGTGAGACAGGCTTTTTTTTTTTTTTTTTTTTTTTTTTTTAACCTGCACTCATTTTGTCTTAATACTTTAAAAATAAACATCTTAATTTCTCAGTAGTTATATGCATTGGAAAGTTTCATGGAAGGAAAGACTAACGGGTAAACTGTATGTGTGTCTACGGCCACACTATAGCTCCCACAAGATTCTCCTTTGTTTTTTTTTTTTTTTTTTTTTTTTTTTTGCTTGGTTTTTGGTTCTTCTTTTAAATTTGGCTTTGATGACAGGGAAAGTGTGCAGGGGCAGAGAGCAGACACAGGGGATGGGGAGATGAGTGGGATTGGAATGCCTGCTGTGAAACCCACAGAGAACCAATAAAATAAAATTCATTAACTTTTACACTTAACGCTATCATTACATAGATATTTCTATGTGACTTTGGATTTTTATAGCTTACATTTGCTTTAATTGTGTTACAGTTAGGATTAAGAAATCGAAAGAATCGAAAATATGTCAATAAAATGTTATTACATTTTATCACAATGGCGTTATCATTGTAGCTTAAGAAATATATAGAATAAACTCTGCAGATTTGCCATAGTTAAGATTTGCTTCCTTGAGCGGAAGAGGCCGTAGTTATAGTGGTCTATGGTGCATGTGGCCCCTCATGTTAACGTGTTATTTATTCTCTGTAGGCCTGCTCCTTTTCTTCAGAGGGTTTGTTAATTACCTAAAAGTCAGAAACATGTCTGAAAGTATGGCAGCTGCACACAGAACAAGATACTTCTTCTTACTGTAGAGGTAAGAAATGTTAATGTGGTGTATGTTTAGTCCTATTAGACAGACATTTTCCAGATACATACTAAATATTTAATATGTACTCAGAATTTTACTTCATGTAGTTAGTATGCTTTATACTAGTTGCTGTGTTTAATAGCTTTGTTAAATTTAATACGTTGCTGACCCTTTTTTAAAATTGAATTTCACTAATTTAAATTTTACGATACAGAATTAGAAACGAAAACTATTTATTTACTTTTGTGGTGTTGTGATCAGGCCCAGTACTTCACACATGGAACAAGCAAGCGTGTTAACTCCTGCTCTTGAGACTGGCTCTTACTATATAAGAGTATATAGTAAGAGTATATAGTATATATCACTGGCTTGCTTTAAACTTGGGACCTTCTTGTGCACCACTGTGCCTAAGGAAACTTTTTAGGTCAGCACTATGCCTGCAGGCCAGAAGAGGGCAGCAGGCACCAGCTCTCATTAGGAATGGTTGTGAACCATCTTGTGGTTTCTGGGAATTGAACTCAGGACCTCTGGAAGGAGCAGCCAGTGCTCTCAACCGCTGAGCTAACTCTCCAGCCCACCCAGAGAAACTTAAATCCTTCTTCCTCAATCTCTTTTTAATGGTTTGCCACAGGCACATTTGAAGTAACCGGCAGCACAAAACCTGAAGACATTGGAAAGTATAATTTTTATAACAAAATACTTAAATAAGAAATAATGGATATTTTCCAAAAAGTAGGCAGACATCTGGTGGAAAAAAACCCAAAAATCCAGAAAGACCACAGATTTGTCACAGTAAGGGAAAAAAGGAAGTGGACAGAGAGAACTTGACAGTTATCCAGAGAGTTTCTGGAAGTTGTGCGTGTAGCGAGCACTTATTTATTCAACAGCCAAGGAGTTTTCAGATGAAGAGACCTTATGTGTTTCCTCAGCTCCGGATGCATGCATGGTATGTGTACATAACATACCATTTTGTCTAATGTACTTGAGCATCTGAGGACTTAGGTGTTGGAGGGAGGTTCTGAAACCAATCCACTATAGCTATTGAGGGACGATTATACTCCTTGTAAGTAAACTGTGTGGTTTATGATTTGATTATTTACATTTATAGCTTTTGTTACTTCTTATAGGTGCCCCACCCTTAGATAAAGATAGGCAGCTAAGGAATACTGAGATTGAGAGAAACAGTCTTCCTCACAGATGAGCCCCCTAATTGGTTGTTCAGTACCAAGTAGTCAGCTTTGAAATTGTGTACATACATACATACATACATACATACATACATACATACATGTGACAGTACCAGAAAAAGAGGCCTGGTTTCTAGAGGGGCTTATATGAGAGGGGTTGGAGGGAGAAAAATAGGAGGAAATGATTCAATTATATTTAATTAAAAAATTAAAAAGGTAAAAAGTAAATACCATTATTTTAGCTGAAGAATATACATGTAAATAACGTCTATATAAATGTGTTTCCAGATTATGTTAAAATATTAGTTTAAATATTCCTTAAGATTCCCTATTCGCAGAAGACACTAAATTTTCTTTTTAATTGTTAAAATGTCTTTGTGAATATTGGCATCAAGGCACCAGTAGTATTAGTGAGATAAAAGGCAAAAAACTATTGCTAACTTGAGCACTGTTGTTTAAGTGGTATACTAATTTTGCAGTTTTTCGAGAGTCAAATATAATGTAAATATTATAGACTATTTGAAGATCTTTTATGGAGGCTTTGTCTTTTAGAAAAATATAGAAACACATGGTTATCTTTATCCAGAAGGCTGTTCTATTCATAAATGAAATGCGGCTGTAAAATGTGTTTTTACAGTATTATGATTATGACAAGTATTTTCGAGACAGGGTTTCTCTGTGGCTTGGGAGTCTGTCCTGGAACTAGCTCTTGTAGATCAGGTTGATCTCAAACTTACAGAGATCGCCTGCCTCTGCCTCCTGAGTGCTGGGATGAAAGGCGTAAGCCACCACCGCCTGGCTCAAGTATAATACATTTTAAGAGTACTTCTTTCTTTGTCTCTAGACTGCATCAAGCCAACATTCCTTTCTTATACCAATGTGAAATGTCCACATCACCTGTAAACCTACAGCTTTGCTAAGATAGAAGACTGCCGAGAGCAGAAGAAAACGTAGAGAGAGGTGGAGCTTCGGAATTCAGTGGCAGGGTGGGTTATGCTTAAAAGCCATGTCTGCTCATTCTTTAATTATCTGTACTTCATTATTTTGCACATTTGTATATGTGCCTATTTAAAAGATACGCATATACTTGAAAGACTCCGTAAAGTTGTTGCAGCAAACTCCAGTCACACTTGGTTAATCAGTGTTTGATGTACTTGGAAGAGCTGAGTGATAAACCCTTCCAGCATGTAAGTGCTTCTGACTTGACCACTAGTGTAATAAAAATCACATTATTCATCTTGTCAAACGCTTTAGTTTCTGGCTCTTAGATTCATCTCGTATTTCCAAACATGAACTATTCTTTGCTATAGATGATGTTTATTAAAACTTGCAGTGTGATTATTAGAAAAGATCTGTCAGATTTTTGAGTATGATATTATTTAGGAAAACTGTAAATAACCATGCATAAGTTGCTTTTCACATTCTTTTCTTGGAATCGTGTCTAGATTTCTTTTCATTAATTTAAAATTAAGTAAACTAAATATATAGAAATAGCTTTGTTAAAGATAGAGTGGTTTCACATGAACTTTAAGAAAATGTGAGTAAACCAAATGTTCTTTAAAGAAAAAAAAATTTAAGAGGAAATAATAGTTTTAGGGATTTTCAAATGAGAAGCTTATATTTAAGGATTACTCACCTTAGCAGTTCTTACAAGAAGGTATTATGTTAGATTTTTATATTTATTTACATCTAAGACAATTTAAAAATTGATTATCAAATATTCTCATTTGCATTTGTCTTTTAAAAAGCCAATAAATGTATCTTTCCATATTACTGTAATCATTTTTTTTCTTTAAATGCTTAGTTTGTTAAACTTAGCAAATAAAATCTTGTTCTGTTAATAGTGCCTTGCTTAATGATTGCAAGATTAATTTGTAAGTTCATATAAGCCGATTTGAGATAACTGATAATGGGTACTTTCATGCTATGAAATGTATCTGAAATATAGGGGTGTTGAGTGTCTGTACTGAGTGAGTGCAACCATTACTCTGTCTGGAATCTGCTTTTACATCCATAGCTATAATGCTTGGTACCTTACAAGTCACCCTCTGTCTCCCCTGGTTTTCATCTTTACCTTAGCATTTGAACATCAACAGTAAAGATGATAGAAATTACATCACTGCTCACCTGTAAAAAATGTCATCTGATATACCTATAATGAACATACAAAATTCATTGCTAGACACTATCACCAAAGGTACATCTAACTATTCAGGGCCATTTTTCTAGTTTTAAGGAAAAATAAAATTCACTGTGTTTTATTACCTCTTTTGTACTTTTTTTATTTTTTGATTTTTTTTCACTGCTTTTGGTAAATAAAGCATACAGTTTTGTTTGCTCATTGAGCTTCCTAAATTGTTTTCGCTAATTCACTTTATTTCTCTCTCTGTTCTACCCCTTGAAGTCGAGCTCTATTGTGTGGAAGGAGAGGAGAGGACTTGTTGCCCTGTGGGAGCGAGCACTAGTAACACAGAGAAACTCACTCTAGCTTCCATAGTCTCCATTGCCTGTAACTTTAAACCACAAGGAAGCTCAGCTACCAAACATCCATTTATCAAAATTCCAGCTTTGTTTTTGTAGTATTCACATTTTGGTTTTACATATGTCTGTGCCATTTTTGATCCAACATCAGAATGTCACATTTTATTTTGACTTTTCCCTTAAGTCTGTGAGTTCAAGTGTGTATTACATAATCCTCTATAATTGTACTAGTTCAATGGTACATAAATCTCATCATCCAAGCAGGATTGCTACAGTGTCTCTTGAAAAACTTAGTATTCCTTTTCAGATACACGGAACCACAAAAGTTTGCCATTCGCTCTGAGCTTGAGCAGCTGTTCTGTTTGGAAGGACCCTTGACCATGGTTATGTGATGCCTTAAAGAAAGTAAAAACCCACTGTACCCGAACCATTTGAGTGAGTGTGAACCAGAGCTTGGATGTTAATGTAGAAATACCTTAAGTGACTTTGACTGTATTTGAATAAGCTTGTTATGGGTTGAATAATCCATTTTGATGTAGCTATAAGATTGGCTTATTTTATAGCAAAATTATTTTTCTATGTAGTGCATTAGGATGGCATTTAAAAATTGAAAGTTAAAATATGAATCCTATTAAACCAACTTAAACTGGGAAAGTCTCTACTTCGCAGAAAAAAAACCAACTAATCTCCAACCAATTATTTTAACCCTGTCAGATAAATCCCAATTTAGACATCTCTTTGAAGTAGTTCATAAATTTTAGTTGTTAAAGTCGCAGTCACTATTCTTTTTTTTTTTTTTTTTTCTGCTTCTATTCCTGCTTGCCCATTTCTTTTTCATCTGGGGCCTTGTGAAAGCCAGGCCAGCATTCTACCACTGAGCTATGCCACAAGCCCTCCTTTTATTTTGAGACAGCGTCCCAGGGTCGTTCCTGAACTCACTGTAGCTCAGAGCAGCCCTGGAATTGTCTGTCCCTCTGCCTCAGCTGTCCACACAGCTCAAATCACATACTGGCACCACATTTCTCAGCTAACCCTTTCGTGACTGGGAAAGCAGAGTTCAAAATGTCCAACTGGAGAAAAAAGCCAGGGTTTCTCAACACTTGTCTCCAAAAATGGTGACAGTGAATCTGATTCTCTCTTACCTATGTCTGGAACTTACTCAGAACACCTCTGAGATTGCAGGGTTTTTCAGATTAAATAGTGCTTCCTTCCTTCAAAGTCCTGGGAAGTAAGGCATATGGGCACCTTAAATAAGAACTGGTTTTTGTAACTCACTGCTTTTGAGAGAAAGAACTTGGGGAAGGGCAGAAACCAAAATAGGATGTTAATTTCCTTCTTAGCCATTTTGTTTTGGCTTGAAAAGGAGGCATAGTAATTTATTCTTAAAGTAAGTTAAATTTGATTGCAGTTCATAATATTTAATAAACAATGGGATTTAGAGTTTTTGACTGTTGTATCATTTGAATTTATGAGTTAAGTGGTCACGAAATAGCATGTTATTTTTAAGACATTGTCTTGATAAAGTTTAACTGTTAGATGATACTGTGCTGTTTGTTATTTTAACAGTGTCCTTGCTTATATAAGAAACATGCTGGCATGTAGTTTGTTAATATAATTGTATAGATGGAAATGTCATCCTTTTGAAAACCAGTTTAAGATTCTAACTATATTAACACCATCTTTACTTCTCTGACATGTTATATATCAGACTTCAAGATTTGAGACAAAAGCAACTCTGGTATGGAATTAGGTTTGCGTTTTGCAGCATTGCTTAAACTTCTCGAAGTTTTTTGTTTGTTTGTTTGTTTGTTTTAGGAGATAGGTTACAGTTTAATGCATGCAGGCAATTCAACTTTTAAAGATAATGTTTTTGTTTTATGTTGCAACAGATAACAATGCGAAATCTTTATTTTTGGTTTAACACCTGTACCTGTCTCCTGCTCTCCTCTCCCCTCCCTCCCACCTCCTTTCTTCCTTTTGATTGTATGAGAACAAGATGCAGGGCCTCTTGTCTAAGCAAGCTGAGGCCTCTGAGTTCCAGTCCAAGGCCATACTTTGCTGCCTTGATGCTTTCAGCTTAGACATGTTTTAGTTATGAAGGATTGTGCTGTCTGCGCTCAAAAACAAATCCACCTGATTCCACTGATAACCATGTTTTAAAACTCCAGTCTGGGAGCTAGCACAATGTCTCAGGATGATGGACCCTGATGCCAGTCGGTGATTTGAGTTTGGGCCTCAGAACTCTCATGTAGGAAAGAGAGAACCAACTGTTATAAGTTGTCCTCACCTCCACATGCATGCCGTGGCATGTAGGCCATCATCTGCATGTTCTCCTATCACCCAACAAATAAGACAAAAGCAAATACATGCCAGTAACTATAAAGGGGATAGGAAGGGAATAGAGGCTGTTCTCATGTTTACAAAGAGCTACTTTGTCTGTGTGGCGCTCTGCTCTCTCTCTCCTTTCTCTCTCTCTCTCTCCCTCTCCTTTTCTCTCTCTCTCTTTCTCTCTCTCTCTCACACACACACACACACATACACTGCATCTTTCTCTCTCCTATCTCTCAGCCCACTTCCCTTGTGTGTGTTCTTTTATTGAGTCATTGTTTCAGGGACATGAAGAGACATCATTTCTTGTCTTGGTTTTACCTGAGAGTTGTGAGTTCAACAAATAAAGTAGCTAACCCAGAACTCATATGAAGTCTGCAGAGAAGCCACTTCATTTAGAATATGACGAGTAGCAAATAACCTAACTGGAAAACATATTAATTCTGCATAGATGCATGTACATATATATTCCATGTGTGGAAATATATGTATTTCTTTCTCACAAAATTCAGGTTGTCAGCCATCTGAATCCTAGAATAGTGACTTGGTTTGTCCATGTATTTTGAGCTGTAAAATTCTAATTACCATCTTGTTCATTTATTGAGACCTAAAAATTCTCTTGCTAACAAGCATTGGTGTTAAGTCATTCTAACAAAATAAGTTGTGATGGAATCTGAAGTATTGTGTCCTAGGTGCAGATAGTTTTAATTGAAAATAATTTCTTCATGCACTGTATTTCTGATCCCTTCCCCTCATCTCCTTCCCACCCACTCAACTCTGTGCCTCCTTCCCCTCTCTTTAAAAACAAATGAGCAAAAACAAAACAATGAAACAAACAGGAAAAAAAAGAAAGAAAAAGCAGGACACGTGTACACACACTATATTATATAAGCAAAAGACCAGTAAGGTAAGAAAAATGCCAATCAAAGCAATCTGAAACAAAAAGTCTACAAAAATACCATTGAGTTTGTTTTGTGTTGGCCATCTACTGCTGGACATGGGGCCTGCCGTGAAGTTTGGTTTGTATACTTACTGAGATTCCATTGGAGATTACTAATTTTTCTTTTTCAGGTGTTTGACACTTGAAGATAGCTTCTGGCTCATGGATGATGATAGTGTTCACTTCCTTTTTCAGCCCTGGGATTCTGTCTGGCTCGGACCTATACAGACCCCCCCCCCCCCCCCCCCCGCGCACACACACACACACACACACACACACACACACACACATGCTACCTCGGTCTCTCTTGAGTTCCTTTACATGAATCCTGCTGTGTTTAGAAGGCTGTTTTATTGATGTCTTCCATTACCATGCGCTCTTACAATCTTTCTTTCCCCTCTTCTGCAGAGTTCCTGAGCCCTGAGAGGAGGGGAAAGAAATATATCACATTGGTACATTGAAAGCTATGAATTTAAAAAAAATAGGTTTATTTTAGGTGTGTGTGTGTGTGTAAGTACAGGTGCCTGCAGAGGCCAGAGGCTTAGGATCTAGAGCTGTAGTTACAGCAAGTGTTTGTGAGCTACCCTATGTGGGTACTCAGAATTGAGCTCATGTCTTCTGGAAAGAGCAGCAAGTGCTCTTAATAGCTGAGCCATCTCTCATCGCCAAGAGCTATGAACTTTAAAAAGTTTAAAATATTGAATGAAAATATTTTAAGTACATTTACATTTTATAGCCATTTTGAAATTGACTTTTCATCTACTTAAGAGGTTTTTTAATTGATTGACATGTGGGAGTTAGAGACTTTGAGAAGACATTACCCTAATCCTTAGAAACTCCCGGGATGAAATCTTGTATGATGATTTTTATAGGACAGCTCTTTCCAGGGCAGTGGTTACTGGTCGGTGTGATGAATTACACATAATCAGCTGGAGGTTTGTTCAAAGTTGACATCCCAGACCCAATGTCTGGAAGCTCTGCCCCAGTGACAGTGCATTTCCTGAGTTGGACATTGTGGACTGACTTTCAGTGTCGTGTTGCTGGCAGTTCTAGCTCTTTGTGTACATCTAATGGAGGACTGAAAACATTAAC